AGATTCTGTTGTGTGAAGAGTTTTAAAGTGATTTATAACTGTTTTCGCTGAGCTCAAAGTGGACATCCATTTAGTATTTAGTTATTTTAGGGACTAGTTTGAGGTTGAAGTCTAGCTTTTTTCGTACGTACGACAGGAGTATCTTACATAGATATGTAACAACATAAAAGTTCTTGTCGAAAAACCTTATCCTCGGGAAAATAGTCCCTGACAACCCATGGGTGTCAGGCTTTCCGGAAAGGGTTAAAGGCAGCGATTACGATAGATCTAAAAGTGGTTTAGAGGGGACGTGATGTCTCAATAGTACGCCAGTGGCTAAAAAAGCAAAGAAATCCGTCAGAATTGAGCAAAACAGTACCCCTTTGATTGACCTTTCATTTTCGACCATGCATGAGCAACGGCAAGAATTGACGTTATTCGGACGTATAAACCCCGATAGCCGCCATTATGCCAACAAACGTAGTGCTTCGATTGATAAGGCATTGCTGGGCAAGTTGGAAGATACAGCCGATAAAGGGGAAACGAACTCCAAAAATGAAAAGCCAGCAGGCAGTCATCATCTAAACAAGTGGGCTGCCGGAGGCGGAGTGCTGCGGGGTTTTGCTTAGCAGCACCTTTCGCCGTGGAAGCGCCATCGGTCCCCTTGGCAGCCAAGTATTAGGTGTTTCAGAAAGTTCTGTCGTTTTCTGACATTCCACTTTTGAATGCTTTATTTCCCTTGCAATCTAGGAAGCTGCAATTGATGATTGATGTCATTTTGAAGAACTTGGTCCAGCTATTATCCAATGCTCAGCACAACTTTATCCTAAAATAGTTTCTTAAGCTTTTCAAAGCTTTAATAGATACTCGAGGAGCAAGCTGGCCACGACTTCCTTTTCTAGCTTCAAATAGACCTGCAAGTGGCGGGATCAGTTCAAGATATCAACGATGCTTGCGGCCTAGATCTTCAATAAATGTGTTCAGAAGCAGTAGTTAAAAAATCTATTGTAAGGAAGGCGAGAGCCTTGAATATGATGAGAGTATGGTGGTCGGACATCGGAACGGTGTCTCCGATTAGCCAAAAGTTCTGATTGAAGCACTGTGTCGTCAAGACATAGAGGAGCCAACGTGGGCGTATATGGTTTGTACAGCCAAGCTATACGGAAGAAGTGGAAAGTCTAAAAAATTCCGATAGTGGCGTGCGCCGACAAATCACCAATTTGGAGCATACGTCCATCAAACTTGTCGCGGGGTTTATGTGGATGAAAGCGACTCGTTTCTCTACAGATTTGCGGGCGTACAATAAAGAGCGGATTCTTCTCTATAGTCTACGAAAGTTGTGCTCGAATAGATCGACGGCGATGAAGCTCTACAAACTTTGCAGAATTTAAACTGTGCTGGAGGAAGGTTGTGTCGGCAGCTTTCATGGGGCCAGCGGCTGGCCATGTTCTTCAGTATCAGATGGAACTTGTTACAGTGGAGAAATCAATCTTAATACTAATTCAAAAATCATCAAAAAACTCTAGGACATGGGTCCAGCATTCCTCCATTATAAAGGAACACGACATCCCTGGATAGGGGTCTGATACGCCACATCGCACTGCCACACCTTCACAAGTGTACCAGCTGAACTTCAGAGTGGTGTCTGCGAACATCTTACTTAGTAGACCCTTGAACTATCTACTGTCAACTCTGACGATCTCGGATAGCTTCCTTGAAGAGAAATAACATCAAAAACCAACATGATGCTAAAACGAACTTCCCTCAGTTCATCGCCTCCAGAGGTCCAGCAATTCCAAATAAACGTACCCTGTTGAACGGTTTCCTATAGAACAAGATGCGCGTTCAAATGTTTTGTGATCAACTCGAAAGGTTCAGCCCAAGCCGAGATACGTGCATTTAAAATTAGGGCTGGAAAACGACAGAACTTTCTGAAACACATAATTAGGTTGTCTCATTAGTAGTGTCGTTTTTTCAACCGAAAAATTTTTATCTGAATCCCCATGCTTTTACACTCCCGTGCTTTTACATCGAATCATATACCGTTCAAAAGACAATTGTCTGTTCTACAAGAAGCTATGTTCCTATTCCACCTGTGATTCAGGATCAAATTTTAGGTCTACGAAAAGGGAGGTCCAGCCGAAATTGACCAAACCGGCAACTATCTCTAACTTTATCTTTCCTTAGGAGAAACTAATCAATGAAGTACCCTCTACTTATGCATGACCTCTTCTGAACATGACACTATTAGGTTTCCCAACAAGTCGCGTCCTTCCATTTCCAGACCTGGTTTTTCAACCATATCTCGACGGTCGAGCACCATTACCTGAAATCTAGGCCGAAATTTTTTATGGCCGAGACATTGGAAAACTAGTAGAATCCAAAGAACAAGTCATGACTAATTTAGGATTGTACGCCTGGTTGATATTCACATCTTCTCATGGATAATTTTTTTCAAAGAAATGCGGAAAAATGAATTTTGTGGAAAAACACCTCATTCCTAACTTTAAATTCAAACTAACCCAACAAACATAAAAAAGAGCGAATAGAGCAGAAGAAGTGCTCACAAAAGAAACGCCACTTGATGTGAAACAATTACCTTCCTTTGAAAACTGCTAAGGCTCATCGGTCAGCCAATTCGAAATGAAACACGGCAAAGCTTTTTCGGTAACCTAAGAGTGGATTGTTAAGGAGAGGTCATGAGTAAGCAGAGGGTACATCATTGACTGATTTCTCCCTAGAGAAGATAAACTTAGAGATAGTTGCCGGCTTGGTCAATTTCGGCTGAACTTCCCATTCGCAGTCCTAAAATTTGATCCTGGAACAGAGGTGGAAGAGGAACATAGCATCTTGTAGAACGGACAATTCTCTCTCGAATGATATACGACGATGTAAAAGCTTGGGGATTCAGGTGAAAACTTTTTGTTTGAAACAACAGCGACATAACTTATAAGACAACCTGATAATTGCTCCGTGTGGCGCAGGTTATCTCCCGATGCGAAATTTCCTTATCGTAATTTCTTTTCGCTTTCTTAAACGAATCTTGCGCAGAAACATCATGATTCTATTTCAGCCATAAATCACTGGCTTGAGACTCATTATCCACGATAATAGTAAAAAGAACTGAAGTAATGCTTTCTTGTGATTGGAAATTCGAAATTCGAACCCACGGACGTCTTTTACGATTGCTGGCGACGGGGATGCTCAAACTTGGTTCTTGGAGTGCATTCAATAGAAGCTCTTCCTGGCCTTCTGCTTCGTTGTATTCACATCTTACACTTCTACTCCATCCTATTCCATCGATCGATTTGTCTCCACTCTCCGAAATCGCGCGCTTTAACCCGATTCTCTCATTGCGTCGCCTGGTACGTAGTCGGCCAAACGCCGTCTTCTTTCCATGCCTCACTGATGGGTGGGATTTTCTGCTAACGAAATTAAGGAACTCGTTGAAGCAGTGCTCAAATGCAAAATTTTTTGTTCCAGTAACAAGTTTTATAAACAGAAAAGAGGCCTAGCCATGGGTAACCGTATTGTACCGTTGTTGGCAGTCATATTTTTGGATCACATCGAAAAGTCATCACTATCCAGTGGAATTCTATTCTACAAGCGATATATCGATGACGTGTTTCTCATTGGAACAACGCAAGAAGATCTAGTGGAAACCCTACATAGACTGAACTCGATGCTAATATAGCCTTTACTAGAGAAGATCCGGGAAGGGATGGTTTTCTACCGTTCCTGAATACAAGAGTGCGAATAAGTAACGGCTACAAAGAACACCTATGGTACAGAAAAAGTGCCTCTTCAAATATAATGTTGACTTCTATTATAAAAGCGCACACCCAACGTATATGAAGGCAAACGTTGTGCGAAATCTTCTGAAAACGAAGGAGAAACTCGGGACGCGAAGTGACCCAGACGTGGATGAAAAATTAAAAGCATCTTCGAAAGCAATGGGTATCAAGAAGGAAATTTGGGAGCCTGGGTACCATACGGAACGTTATATGGGAGAACCCTTAAGATGCCATGTCAACGACAAAATGGCTCGCGAGGTGAATCGTGTTGCGAAAGATGCCCAGCTTCCAATTCGTCTTGTTTTTCGACCTCCTCCCACACTCAGAGACCTGCTCACATCATCGCGGGTATACGAGGATAGGTGCCACGAGCAGTATTGTTGATACTGCACTTCCGAAAAGATCTGCGAACTCCAAGGCACAGTCTATTTAGTCCGATGTAGAGGATGTGGAGAAAAGTATGTGGGAGAGACTGCGAGACCATTGAAGATACGCCTGGACGAACATAGGAGGGCGCTGAATAATCCCGCCGCTTACCCACGCAGCAGTTTCTTCAGGCACCGTACGTTAAGGCATACGAATGAGAACGGTCCATCTTTTGAAGTTAGCGTTTTTCACAGACATATGATACGGCCATTGGATAGGAAAAACATGGAAGCGCGGGAGATATACCGCATCAAGCCAGAAATAAACGCTAAAGAAGAGCTACGTGACCTTCTGAGGCTTTTGACTTGATCAGCGAGCCCCTTTCCCTCTGGAGTGGCGTCTCTAGTTCATTTGCAAGCAAACCCCAATAGGCCGCCCCTCTTCGTCTTTACGTTTCTGGTATGTATCGATGCATGATGTTCTTTGTGTTGTAGTTGCTGTTATTGTAATGTTAAGGTTGGTCTGATGATGGCATTATTGCCGAAAGCTCACCAATAAATACAAGATCAAGAGCTTCAAGACATCTGTCGCGTTAGCGACGCCCACTTAGGGTCCGCCCTCCGGGGCTCCACCCGCCGTCCCCGGCTCATGGTTAGTCGATTCATTGCACGATTGTAAAGCGGCCACCGCCGCTATCGGAATAAAGTTGTAGTTGGTGCCAATAGTTCACCACATCTGGTGCATCGGCCCGCTTGCTGTTTCTTGCTTTTAGCCGGAACAGGAACCCAGGCCAGTAGCCAGGCAAAGCCCGCTACTCAAATCTCAGACGGAACCTGAGCACACCAGAAAAAGCGCTCAAGCATGTCGCTATTTTTCCGAAAGTCGAGCCTTCGACGAGCCACGACCAATTTGAAATCGCAACTTGACACTTTTCGTGGTTTCACAAACGAACCACTTTACCCCCAAAGCGCATGCGAAAAAGCGACGTATTGCTCAAAAACAATAGCAGCGCTCGAAAATTCAATTTCGCTGATCCAATCAGCAAAAAATGAGCTCGTCATTCTGATCGATAGCGTTGAACAAGACTATGCCGAGATCAAGAAGCCGGAAAAAAGTAGTTTTCTTGAAGAATTCCAGCAAGTTGCGAGTGAAACCCGGTACGAAGAAACACTGACAGAAGCTGAGGCCATGCTGTGCGCGTTGAAAACCCGACTAGCAGAAGTTAGACATGAGCATGCGCTGGCAAAGAAAGATATCCAGAAGGATATAGGAAAGCAATTTGATGAAATCGATGAAAAATGTTTTAAGGATCAAGAATCGCAGCATAAGCTCAATGTCGGAGACAAAGGAATTTCCGCAGATATCGCAGACACATCACAACATGCGATGGAATGCAGCGACCATCAGGATACGGTAGCTACAGTATGCCCGCCGTTGCGCGACATTGATTCTATCAGCGAAAGCTTACAAAATACGCGCACCTCGATCAAGCCGCCTCAAGTATCCGTTCCGCGTTTTTCGGGAAATGCTGAAGATTTCCAAGAGTACTGGGCCATATTTCAAGCTGTAGTTCATGAGAATTCGTCCCTGACTAAAATGGAAAAAATGATCTTGCTAAAAGAAAGCCTAGTTGGAAGAGCAGCAACCACGATCAGAGGCATTAAAATGATGCCGAAAAATTACGAATGGATGATAGAAACCTTGAAAAAGAAATACGACAACGTCACTACCGCGCGGGCGAACATAATTCATCGCCTATCCAATCTTCAGCATACGAAAGACAACACAGGCGAAACGATTTTTGATGAGTTACGTTCATTAGTGAATGAAATGGTTTCATCGGGCTATAACGTTGTAGTAACACGTGACCCGATGTGGACTGAAGCCATTCTACAGAAACTCCCTAAGCACATCGTTGAGGAGTTCTTAAGAGAAAACAAAGACGGAGAATCGTTCACAATCGGTGAGACGTTAGATCGTCTTGAGACAGTAATTACGCGGTACAAGTACGTAAATCAACGGATGAGATCACAAGAAAGCAGTCTAAGCCCCACACACCCGCCACAGCAAACCAGCGCATTCCCTGGGAGAAGTAAAGTCTGTTATTTCTGTGGTCGAAACAACCACAGGACCTTCCAGTGTCGAACCGTGTACGAGCCCAGCGAACGCCGTAAAATGGCCATGGAGCAGAATTTATGTTGGAAGTGCTTTTCTAAGGATCACCGCAGTAGTGAATGCTCAAGACCAAACTGCTCTATCTGTGCGAAACTGCATGATACTACACTCTGTCTCCGAAAATCATCGGAAACAATGATGCACAGGCCTACCAATGAAAGACAACAGCCAATCAAACCAACGACTAAAACACGTGTTAATACAAACGCTAGCAGCGCTCATCAATATGACACAGTACGCACCTATAAGGCGATCAATGCTTTTTCACCCATGACAAACGATCCTAACGGCACCGAAAACACCGCTACCGATCTAGACCAGATAGTGTTGATGACTGCCGAAGGGTCCGTATGGAACAATAATACAAATTCATACGAAAGAGCCCTGTTTTTCTTCGACACAGGCGCGCAGCTGAGCTTAGTTGAAGAAAAATCTGCAGAACACCTCGCACTGCCCGTGATAGCCTCCGATCAATGCACGCTATCCGGTATAAGTGGAATCTCCGAATTCGTCTCTCACCATGTACAGCTCAGAATCTTGACAGCCCACGGCAGAGAGCTTAAGATGACAATGCAAACAAAGCCCACGCTTACAAGAGGTTTTCCCGCCGTGCGCCTGATGGAGCCTGATATAGAGTTCATGGAAGAAAATTCTATCCAATTGGCAAATACGCCCCTGAGAGGCGAGCACCAGGTCCCTCAAATACTGGTGGGAATAGATCTTTATGGCATTTTTATCCCAGAAAACAGCCCACCCGTTCAGTTACCAACAGGCTTACGCGTAACAAAGACAGTCTTCGGTTTCGCGGCTTACGGTAGAGGAAACACAGCGGCACAACCAAACATAAACGAAAGCGACAGTAAGTTGTGTAATACGGCCATAGTCGAAGAAATGACGGAAGCAGATATGATAAAAACTATGTTCGAGCTGGAAAGCTTAGGCATCTCCACAAAAGAAGGTTTGAATGAAGAGGCAACCTACGCGTATCTCTCAAAATACGCGAAATCGATCAAGTTCGAAGACAACTACGTAACGGCTCCATTTCCGTTGAAAGAAAATATAACGGAACTAACAGACAATCGTGCTATGGCAATGAAACGTCTGATCGCGCAAGTTAAGCATCTCGACGCGCACGAAGACCAGAAAAAGTGGTACACTGAGATCATCTCTCAATACTTGCAGGATGATGTCATTGAGGAAGTGAGAAATCCCGTCCCTGATTCGGTGGGAACGCACTACATGCCCCATTCCGGGGTATGGAAAGAACACAAAGCTACCCCGTTAAGGATCGTCTTTGATGCATCATCGAAACAAAGAGGGCGATTCTCATTGAATGACGTTCTGTATACTGGAGCTACGTTTGTGAATAAAATACATGACATCCTCATTGCATGTAGAGGGACGCCGATAGTACTGATAGCAGGCATACAGGCGGCGTTTACGCAAATTCGGATACAAGAAAATCATCGGAACCTTTGCCGGTTTCTCTGGCTCCATGACCCAAGTAAACCACCCGTTCATAACAACATCGTGGAGTATAGATGGAAACGTGTCCCGTTTGGCACCACTGCTTCTCCCAGTATACTCAACATGGTAATAACAGCATTCCTGCACCAAGACAGCACTGAACTGGCAAATGAAATACAGCGATACCTATACGTTGATAATGTGCTGTTAACAGAGCGTTTACTCCTGAACAGGCAGTCGAAAAGTGTAAGCGTTCCAAAGAACTTTTTATGAAGATCGGAATGAACCTCAGGGCGTTTGTCAGCAACTCGAAGTGGGTCAACTCTCAAATCAGCGAAGCCGATAAAGCGCCATACGGCCCCATGAAACTTCTTGGACTAGAGTATAACCCAGTTTCAGATCACTTTACGTTTCATACGGATTTTCAGTCTTGCCCTGTCACGAAAAGAGACATCTTAAAGCAACGTCACTCCATCTATGATCCGATGGGGTTCGGTGCACCTTTACTGATAAAGCAAAAACACATCATGCGTGTAGTATTGGAAAAAATTCCAGAATGGAATTCAAAAGTGGATCCTGATCTATTGAGGCAATGGCAACTAGTCAACAAAGAAATCAACAACGTCCATATACAAATCCCACGTTACATCATGGGACCAAACAGTAGCTGCAAGAGAAACGCCCTGTGGATATTTGCGGACGCAAGTAGCCAAGCTATGGCTGTATGTGCATATGTAGTTGATGGCAACTTCCTCGAAGTCTCGAGCCTTCTCAGCGGTAAAACCAAACTCGCTCCCAAAAAAAGGGTACTGTCCACTCCGAAGCTGGAACTCTTGGCAATACTCTTAGCTCTCCGATTGGCCGAATCCATAACGACGGACTGCAAGTTGCCTTCGAACAAATTTGCATCGCAAGCGATAGTCTAATCGCAGTGAGCTGGGTACATACGTCGCGCAAACTCCCCCTTTTCGTTACGAACCAGCGCGATAGAATTAAAACAATCATGAACCGTCTCACGGCGCTAGGGCATGACATCCAGCTACTTCACGTACCGGGAGAAAGAAATCCTGCAGACAACGGGACTCGAGGATTAACGGGAGAACAACTCGAAAGCAGTAACTGGAATACCGGTCCACAGTGGCTCCTCAGCGAAGAGCAACGAAAAGACCTTACAAACATAGAGCTCCTGGGATCTTTGCCAATAGACACACTGGATAAAGATCCCACGGGAGAGGAAGAACAAGCTGTGATCCTAACAGAAATATCTCTAAAACAAGAAGAAAACGCCAACAATATCCTTTCGTTAAGGCGCTTCAGTACTTTACACAAAGCTCTTAGGGTCACTGCCTTAATCGGTAAATTCATAGCCACATAGCAAACCGCGTGAAGAAAAACCACAATACCCCTCTCCACGCGTCCGCTATATTTTCGATCGGACCTCTTATCTCCGCCAGCGATATGAACCAGGCTGAAAGAATTTTAATCCAAAGCGAACACAGAAGCATAGACATCAAAAGCCTGCAGCGGAGGTATCGCGATAAGAGCGTGTTCGTTGACGAACAAGGAATAATAAGAATGAGATCCCGCCTACAAAACGCTGATCTCCCTTACGACACAAGAAACCCCATCTATATTGAGTCACATTCAGAGCTAATGCGCCTGATCGTTGACGATTTACACAAAAATAACGGCCATTGTGGGAGAAATCACATCCTTGCCCTTGCTCGCCAACGTTTCTGGTTCGCACGCCCTTTACGTGCCATCGCGCAGAGGTTAAAGAAGTGCGCAATCTGCCAACGCGAGCAAAGTCTGCCTTTTAACATGCCTCCCATGGCCCAGTTGCCACCAGACCGAGTGATACGAGCGAGGCCTTTTGAAAACATCGGTTGTGATTTCATCGGGCCTTTCACCCTTAAGGATTGGTCAAAGGTGTACGTATGTTTGTATACCTGTCTAACCATACGTGCAGTGCATCTAGAACTAGTCGAAAACCTTTCAGGGGATGCTTTCCTCAACAGTTTCATCCGTTTCACTGCAAGAAGGGGTGTACCGCGCATTGTCCGAACGGATTGCGGCACCAACTTCATATTGGGACAAAAGGTAATTGACATGCTATTTGACCAAGACCAAGCAAGCGGCATGTCTACAATGAGCTACTGCGCTAAACAAAGAATAACGTGGTTATTCAATCCCCCAGGAGCTCCCTGGATGGGAGGGGTTTGGGAGAGACTTGTTGCACTAGTGAAAAGCGCATACCAGAAATGCATAAGAAGGAACAGGCCTTCCTACGTGGACATGACCACGATTCTTACCAGAATTGAAGCGATAATAAATACAAGACCGTTGACTGCAGTAAGCACGGAGGACACGGACGCCCTGCCTTTGAGGCCGGTAGACTTTCTACAGGGAAATATATGCTTTTCATTACCGGCAGAATGCGATACGGATAGCGGTGACTCGTCGTTCGACCCCACCTTTATGCAGACAGTACTACAGGCAAAAGAGGCTCTCAAGTTTTCAGAGTGTATTGCAGACAGATTCTGGAAAACATGGAACACGATCGTATACTCTCGCGCAGAAGTCCACAAAGCACTCTGTAAGCAATATCGCCACAATGCACGACCAATACCAGAAGAAGGAGAAATAGTCTTGATAGAGCAGGACTTTATCCCGCGGGGACACTGGGCGATGGGAAGGATCGTGGAACTCATACATAGCTCGGATGGAATGGTGGGCTCCGCAGTAGTTAAGCTGCCACACAGAAACGCCACCTTACATCGTCCTATCACCAAACTCTACCCGCTTGAGATCAGATCGATGGGAATGGAACAACAGCACGAAAAAAAGGGAGACAGGAAGGTGACCCTCAAGGAGAATGCGGCTGAGACATCAGCAGCACCGCTTCCGCAACAAGCATTACGGGGGCGAACTCGCGTAGCCAAAACAAAAGCTCTCGAGGCGATTCGCAAACAATCCGAAGGCAGCGATGAAGAAACGACTGAGATGACAGCAATTTCAGCGGTTAGATCACCCTCGAAATTAAACGTACACGTTGCACAACTGTTTTTAACGCTAATATGTCTGTGTTGTAGCACGGCTGCCCATGCAACCAGACACATCAACTGCGTAGACGGCTCAGTAATCATTGATGCACCCTACCCAGAATTCACGTTGTGCTTCAACAGCGTCTGCCGGAATTTCAGTGAAAAGGAACCCACGATGCTGTTCAAGCTACCGCCATCACCCACTCGCGCTCCCGTAACAGTGCGAATACAAACAAAAGACAGCATCAATGCACTTTCGTGCGCACCCGCGCCATTTTGTGCCCAGGTCTCGAATTTGTTCACAAAAACCCTCATAGGGAATCCACAGTGCTGGCCCATGGGAGCCATGATATCCATCGCTATTACTGCGTACTTGATCGTGACCTTGATGCTGTTCGTGGTTTGGCTAGTTCGGCATCGAAAGGAGAACAATACGCCCTCTGTTTCCAACACAACGGCCATTTCACTGTCGATCTTACAGACGCAAGGGACTCGACAGCACGTCCCTTTTACTCTCGCCTCATTTAAGCCAGCCCTTCTCCCACCTGCGCTATCAGTAGCAATGCTGACTTGCCTAGGGTTGATCACAGGAGGCTATTCATGTCAAGAAGGGTACATGCGACACTCTGCGGAACTCAAGTGTACGCAACGCCATGAATGCCATTACGAGTTTCGGCATGAACTCATGTTCAACAGAGTGACGCAACACCTTTGCATTTTGCTACGTCACGAAAACAGCACCGTAGGGTACAAAAAAATCAGACGCACGTCAGTACGCTTCGAGTGCCAGAAAGAATCACTCTTTTGGACCAGAGAAACAAAACACGCAATACGGTCGGTAACAAGATGCAGGGGACTAGGCTCCTGCATTGACACTACCTGTGAGACGTTGAATCCCGATCAAATTGTCCCGGAGTTGAACGATTCCGTGCCGAGCCCTGGATACACTGCATGTTCAATACAGTGCTCTGGGATAGACTGCATATGTCCCTTTCCAATTCGAGCGTGCACTTTCTATAGTGTCAGACATGTGCCAGTGTCACAGAGCTCTTTTGAAATCTTCAGATGCTCAGGCTGGCAACCATTGGTCACCTTCGAGATTTCGCTGCAGGCTTACAAAATGAGAAAACAACAGAAGATCGCCCTCTTGCCGTACTCATCCAAACAGTTAGGGAATTTCAATCTCTTGTTGAATTCTGTTGGTAGCACCCAGTTCTCGCATAGTCAGAAATTTGCGCTTAGCCAAAAAGACACTTTTGCAATACCCGATAGCTTTGTTTTTCCAATCCAGTGTGACTCAAAGCAGAAAGCTGAGCGGAACTTCTCATACTGTCGTAACATGCATTTTTGCGATTGCGATGTAAGCGGGGTTACCCCTAACTGCCGCTGTCCACACAACGAACTATCTGCTCTGCGTCGAAATCCACAGTATCGGCTTCCCGTATCAACACCATATGCTTCAATTTTGAGAGAGGCGAACACGATTATAGCTGAGACGGATCAAAGAGAGACAACAGTAGTGATAACCTCGAAACAGCGCTTCGAAGGAGCCCATCTGAACATAGACACCCCATGCACAATCCAAGCAGGAATACTTGAAGGTTGCTATAGTTGTCATCAAGGAAGTCAAATCAGTATTGCATGCTATAGCTCAATTCCATCTTGGACAACAATTGTCTGCGCGCATCACATATTCTCCATCGAATGTAGCCCCGCAAATAGAACATCAACGATCAAGATCACATTCGATAGAGCCGTAGTTTCTTCGCACTGCTACACCATCTGTGGCGGCAATAATGTTACGGTAGAAATCAGCGGTATACTGTACTACCATGCTAGTGAAGGCGCGCCGCCCCGCTCCCCCTAGCAGATGTGCTGCACAGTAATGGGACAAAGACAATACCACAAACAGACTGCGTTCAAAGACCTGTACCTGCCAGGATCTCTCTCCTTTATGGATAGCTGGCGTTAAAGCACTGGAAACTCACGCTTGCCATAACAAGCTCTTTTGCGATAGCAGCTTTTACTCACATACTTTTTGGGCCAATTGTTATACTCACCTCGCCAAGATACTTGCGAAAACAGCGTGCTTCTTGTGCAACTCTCCGGGATATGGACATTTGCGCTGAAATCGCGCGCTGCATGTTTTCCTGAATACATAATTGAAACAACAGTCGCGCAACAAACGCTTATCATGGCGCACATCACATATACCCTTAGCATTCTATAAATTGTAACGCTTCATCTTCTCTTTCAACCAATGTCGTTCGATCTCGAAGCACGAAATCCAGCTCATGGAGATGGAGCGCAGGCCGGCGTTCGACGCCTTTGTCCAAACAGTGAAAATCATGGCTGCGTCGAGTGGGTGCCATCTCAACAAAGTCTCCAGATGCAGGAGGATATGCGCGTTCTTCTTGAGCGCACAACACTACATCAAGCGGTGTTTGCGCTGTGGTGGGAGCAATGTTGACGGACAGTCATTTCAGCTCGCTGTCCATCGTTACACAGACCCTTTTCACGAGCGTATGCGCATTTCCCAGCTTCGCTTTGTGTGGAAAATGTCTGCGCCTGAACAGGAAATGATTGCAATGTCACGTGCAATGTTTTGCCGCGGCGAACACAACAGTGTTCTTTGCCTCCCGCGCGTGGAGCGCCACTGAAAAGGCCGCAAGATTAATGGTGCGTGATCGTGGTCAGCGATGCTTCGTCCCATCGTCATTGCTGCTGCTGTTAATCTCGTCGCTGCTTCGCCTTCACTCGTCTGCGTTCACGTCGCTGCTTCGCCTTCGCTCGTCTGCTGTGGTATTCTCGTCGCTGTTCCTCCTCTTCACGCTGCTAGTTCGTGTGCTTTTGTTCTTCTCCGCTCTGCATGCTTACTGGTATAGTCGGTCTGCGTCTATGCGTGCTGCTCGATTTTCCTGACGCGCTGTTTGCTACTTCTGTAGTCGTGCTGAGTATGGATCTATGGAGGCGATTCTCGTCACTGCTGGCGCGTCAGCGACCCAAAGGACGATGGCACACAGTTCGTCGGAGGGATTTGGTGATCCATTTTATAAAATGTGCTTCGATTATGCTATATTTTGTTGCGTGTTTATATTGATTTATGTATTCTTCTACATTTTTAGCAGTCGGGGCCGGCGGAGTGTCGCGTTAGCGACGCCCACTTAGGGTCCGCTCCTCCGGGGCTCCAACACGCCGCTCATGTTAGTCGATTCATTGCACGATTGTAAAGCGGCCACGCCGCTATCGAATAAAGTTGTACGTTAGTGTGCAATAGTTAACCACAACATCACCAGTATCACAAATTAGGCTCAGAAAAGGATAGCAGCTTTGCCATATTTGAAATATATGTTCAAATTTCATCGCTTCTATATTATAATTCGCTAAGTATGTCTGTGTCGTGGTGGCGGCTGTTTGCCACGAAAATTCGTAGTCTCACGTCACAGCAATAGCGCCATGGTTCTGTACAATATGTCATATGGGGCGTGGCATGGGGACACAAGTGGTATGTGATTTGAATGATAACGACGTGATATATGATATAGAGGGCTAAAAACGAGATCGGCTTTCTCGTTCATATTGCGTATTAGTAGTGTATATACATACTTACTCCGCGTCAGGCTGAGAGTAACCTCCGTGGTGGCGGTGGGCAGAAATTGTGACAGCGATACCGTGTTGCGTCCGCCACATTAACGTGACCTGTCGATAAAGCAAAAGCTTACCGATGCCGTGCTCCGATTTCTACTGGCCGGATTTCGCCCTCAACGGCGACGAAATCGCAATCGATATGGACACGAGTGGCTGGCAACCCCGATGGACTGGTGTGCAAAAATATTAGCTACGAACGAAATAGAGAGATTGCGAACAAATCGCATGGGTAGGCTCGGCGGGCTAGCAACCTACCCACGATTTTGGGATGCTCAGAACGTATAAGGATTTAGCGCAATGGACTGTCGCAACTATCATATTGTTTGTCACAACTGTACGAACGTTTGTTCATCTGATACGATCTTACTGATGTGTACATTTCAGGAGACGAGAAAAGTTCCAAGCCGGAGTGAATAGGATGATAGTTGAAACAGACCGGCAAACGAAAGACATAGTTGTGAAAATGGATACAGCAGCACCAGGTTCTCCTTGGAAGGTCAGTTTCCAAATGTAATCCGCACGGCGGCAGGGGTAGGATTATTGTGAAAAGAAGAGTTGTTCCACTATTGTAAGCTGTGAAATCAGATCGCCGCGAGTCGCAATGATTACTCTGAAGTTGGACGGACACGAACTTAATGAAGATTTAACAAGGCTATACGCACGCAACAAGCAGCATGACGATGAGAAGTAGAACAGTTTTTATGAAGAAATAAATGAGCATGACGGATTCCATCCATATACACAGTTGCTTGCAAAGGCGATATTGAATGCATCTGTAGGCAAAAAAACGGAAATGATGGTAGACAAGCAGATGGGAAAATTCGCGGTAATGGAGAAAGAAATGAGCGCGGTGTGAAAAGATGTCGCTGATAAGAAGGGGCTAAAAAGCGAGCATCGTCTTTCTCGTTCATATTGGTACTAAGAGTGTATATACATACTTACCCCGTCAGGTGATACCTCTCCGTGGTGCGGGGGAGAAATTGTCGACAGCGATAAGTGTTGCCCGCCACTTTGTAAGGACCTGTCGTACAAGCAAAGCTTCACCCGAGTGCCGTGCTCCGATTTCTACTGGGCCGATTTCGCCTCACGGACGAAATCGCCATTCGATATGGACACGAGGGCTGGCAACCGCCGAATGGACTGGATGCAAAAATATTAGCTACGAACGAAATAGAGAAGATTGGAACCAAATCGCTGGGTCAGGCTCGCGGCGTCGGCTTGAATACTACCCACGATTTGCGGATGCTCAGGACGTCATAAGGATTACGGCCCAATGGAACTGTCCAAAATATATACTGCTTGTCACAACGTCCGAACGTTGTCATCTGATACACTTACTGATGTGTACATTCCAGGAGACGAGAAAAGTTAAAGCCGGACGTGATAGGAGTAAGTTGAACAAGACGAACAGACATAGTTGCAAAATGCATACAGGAGACCAGGTTTTCTTGGAAGGTCGTTTCTCAAATGTATTCCCGCACTGAGGGGTAGGCATTATTGTGAAAAGAAGAGTTGTTCCACTAATTGTAAGCTGTGAAATCAGATCGCCGCGAGTCGCAATATTACTTCTGAAAGTTGGACGGAAACGAACTAATGAAGATTATACAGGTATACGCACCAACAAGCCAGCATGACGATGATGAAGTAGAACAGTTTTTATGAAGAAATAAAATGAAGCATGTACGGATTCCATTCAAACATATCACTAATTGTTCAAGGCGATATGAATGCATCTGTAGGCAAAAAAACGGAAAATGATGCGAGAGAGATGGGAAAATTCGGGTATGGAGAAAGAAATGAGCGCGGTGAACAGATATCACTTTTCTCAACATCAATAGGCTTCGCATCATGAATACATTCTTCATGAAGCCTGAAAAGAGATTATGGACTTGGAAAAGTCCGAACGGAACAGTAAAAAAGCAGATTGATTATGTGTTTTCCAACGTTCAACGAATTTTTCAAGATGTTAGCGTAATCGGTGAGAACATCATTGCCACGAACAGCGACCACAGAATGATTCGGAGTACCATCATAATAGACAATGCACTGGAATCCAGAATACTTGCAAGAAGTCGACGAATAGGTTCAAAAGTCATCAGCAACCCTGAAGAAGTAGAAGAACAACTGAAGAGGGAAGATTTGAACTATCTAAGGCTTGTAACGATCGACGATGATTATCAGAAGCTATTTCAAAGCATAAAGGAGGCTGTGGAGGCGGGTAGCACGCGCGGGAGAAGGCAAAACCACCGGCTATCGGAGCGAACTCTACAACTTCTGAGAAGGAGAGCTGCTTTGAAGGCACAAGGAATACTGGACGAAGAATACCATCACATATGTGAGCAAGCTAGGAGAATGATAGTGGCAGACTATGATAACTACAGGACCCGAAAGTTAAGAGAAGCTGTGAAAGCGAACAAGGGGCTGAAAAAGATAACAAAAGAAGTCCAATTAAAGCAAAAGATACCACTAGCCCTTAAAGATGAAAGTGGAAGTCGAGTGTTCACTAGAAGTGGCATGACACGAATATGCAAGAGCTTCTTCAACAAACTGTACAGTTCGGTTATCCTTATACAAGAAGAACGTTGTGCAATTCAACCGGAAAAATTCCAACCTGTCTTAACAGATGAAGTAGAAGCTGCGATTGCAAAATTAAAGAACGGAAAATGCCCTGGAATAGATGGAATAACGGCAGAAATGCTCAAGGCCGGCGGTACCACTTTAGCGAAATTGCTTGCTCGAAGATTCACAGTATATGCTCAAGAAGTCAAGCTCCCCAGTGAATGGAAAAAATCATCGACAATTCTTCTGTTCAAAAAAGGTGATAAAGAAGAAATAAGTAACTACCGCCCGATTTCGCTGTTATCTCAGCTATACAAAACTTTCACGAGAGTATTGCTCAATAGATTATCACAGGATATAGAACAGAATGAAGATCGGGAACAAGCAGGGTTTCGGAAAAACTATTCCACAATTGATCACATCCACGCTTTGAGACAACTGCTTGAGAAAAGTAGAGAATTCCAATTGCCGGTATGCTGCCTTTCCGTGGATTTTGTGAAAGCTTTTGACACAGTGAAGACGAATGCAATTCTTAACTCTCTTCGTCAGATAGGAATTAATTCCAATTATGTCAACATCATAGCAGAAATGTATCGAGGAAGCACTACCAATATCAAACTGTTCGATGAAGAATGTGAAGTCGACCTAAGAAGAGGTGTACGACAAGGGGGACTGTATCTCACCGAAGCTTTTTCTCTGTGGTAATTAATGCTGTATTCCGAAATTTGGAATGGAATGAGGGAGTAAAATAGATGAGAACGTTCAACATCTTCTTTAGCGGGAACGTATGTTTATTTTCGCACAAAACAATGGAGCTCAGAGGAAATTGAGGATCTACAAGTAGAAGGCGAGAGTTGTTACAATTCATCGAGAAAACAAATATGAGAAATCTGATACTTGGACAGGAAAATGTGATTTGGATGGGAAAGATAGGCGAAGAGGTAGAATCGTTAATTTTTATCTTCGGACAGATGTCCAAGATGGCCGGGTGAAGAAGAGACAAGAAGATTAATCCGAGCAGCAGGGACAGTTTTGCGACAAATAGAAGCTTAGTGAAGAACTAGCAATGAATAGATCGGTTCAACTTCTCAAAACACAAGGGTTTAAACCCTCACATTGACAGCAGAAATCTGGGCGACAACGGAAAACGATGAGAAAAAATTAGCTGTAACACAAAGGCATATGGAAAGAAGGATGTGTAAGATTACGTTAAGAGACCGAGTAAACAACGAAGAGCTGAGAAGACGCACAAACGTTGATGATGTTGTCAAAACTATATATCGAAAGAAACAATCATGGGCTGGACACGTGACAAGATGTAAAGATAACAGATGGACAGTAAGATTAACCGAGTGGTACCCTCGAGGATGCAAACGCCCTGTGGGTCATCCGAAGATGAGATGGTGCGATCCAATGGTACAGTTACATGGTCACCAATGGAGAAGAATAGCACAAGACAGAGAAAGATGGAAAGGTTCCGATTTGCAAACATGGAGGAATGTTTGAAGACAAATCGCGTAAAAGTACTTTTACTTTTAAAAGTAAAAGTATATACTTACAAGTGTTGTGTGGGGTGGTCCCGGGACATTAGTGGTACTGAATGAAAGCGATAGCAATTGATAAAGGCTGATAAGACGCGTCAGAGCACAAAAGTCGTCGATTCCGCTACCTGGCTCGCGTTGACACCAGAGCAACCATACTTACAAGTATTTTAAGGGGTGGGACGAGAACATTGTTGCTGGGTTATAGAAAGTGGTTACAACTGACAAAGACTGATAAGACACGCCAGAACGCCAAAGTCGTATAAGGGGTGCGACGGGAACGTTGTTGCTGGGTGGTTACAACTGAAAAAGACTGATAAGGCGCGTGCCTTATCGGCCTTATCGGCCTTCGGCGTCTCGCCGTCAATCGTCAGAGATGCCTAATGATCGCGAATTCCTGTAGATGAAGAGGGGAATCTGGTCCCTCCGATTCAACAAGTCGAAGAAGAAATCTTCGAGGAGGAATCACTGGATACTGTTATCGTCTAGATCATAGAGATCTCAATATAAATATTCAAGCCGTTAAGGCAGAAACGCCCTCGTTTTCTCAAACGCCTGCAGCTTCGCAATACTTCAATCGAGATGGATATGGTCGTCAGTTTGACTTTAACAACACGATTATTCGGAAGCTGACACCGTTGCAGAGTTTCGAGCAGTCTAATGCCATTGTTTCGAAAGTTATTCAGGACATCACGGTCAGAAACGAAACAATCAAAATTGCAGACTCTTACCCAGGAGTTTTTCAATTCCTGGACAGTGAGAGTAAATCGAAGTCGTTGAAGGAATGGATAGGACTTGGCGAATTCATGGAAACCATAAGAAAGGAGCAAAAAGGCAGCAGGAAGCACAAGCCGTCGTCTTCCTTAGGGTAGGGAAACAGCATGGCGCCCTGTTTCCTCCCCGCCATCCAAGCACCTACTCCAACTACTGGAACAAGTCGTACACGGGTCGTAGACCCTATTCGTGTTCAAGGCGTGACCTACTCCCCTCACGCAACGCAAGGCATTTCCGCAACACCTACAAAGAAGAGGAGAACAAGAGGAAGTCCTCCTGTAACCTCTGTGGAAGAGAATGACACTGGGTCAAAAAGTGCCCAAAAAACCATTAGTGAGCTTTTTCAGTGGTTCTATTCATAATTTTCCTGAAGAGTAGGTGGCTCGCAAGCCTTCGCAGCTGGTCTCGACCACGATATTGCACGGGTACTCTTTACCCTTTCACTCAGAACCGTCTAGACCAGTAGACGCGGGCAACAGAAAGTCAGCTCTCAGACATAAAGACTTCGTGTATGCAGAAATTACAAAGCTTCTCTCGACCGCAGCGATTTGCGAAGTGAACAGCGATCCGCGTAGCCTGCTGCATATTCATCCGCTATCATTAGCAAAAGGTAAAAAATTAAGATTGGTTTTGGACTTATCTCATTTGAATAAGTTCCTTAATGTACCCAGAATTGAATTTGATGATATGAAAAGCATTCTCAATGTGCTTCCTGACCCGGGCTTCATGGCCACCTTTGACCTGAAGGCTGGTCATCATCATATTCGAATTAAGCATAGTCACACCAATTATCTGGCTTTTCTGTGGGAAGGCAGATACTACAAATTCCTATGCTTACCATTCGAACTTCCCTCAGCTCCGAACATCTTTACCAAAGTGCTCCGTTGTTTCATCATATAGTGGAGGGCTCAGGGTAAAGGAGTTGCCATATACATAGATGATGGAATCATTTTTGAACAATCCAGAGAAGCATGTGCGGAAACAACTTCTATTATCAGGTCCGATCTCACTCGCACAGGATGTTTCTTTGCGGAAGACAAATGTGAGTGGTCTCCTTCGCAGACGTGCAACTGGTTAGGTTTTCAAATTGATTTGTCATCAATGATAATATCTGTTTCAACAGAGAGGTTAGCGAAAGCTTCGGAAAGGCTAAAAATCATAACTCAGTTCGATTCGCCTTCGCTATATGATAGATTACGTTGGGCCGGTACAATTTCATCCATGCATATTCTTTTGGACTGCGTGGATAAACGGAATACAAGCGCAGTAGCTAGGCAAGTTGCAGCGGCCCAAAACCAGAGTTGCGTTTTTATCCATCGATCAATTCAGGTATTTTGGATGGGACAAAATTCATTTCGGATAGTATCTGTTTCCCCGTAGGGACTAAATTATTCAGAGATAGTCAGATGCCAGAAACATTCGGGTCTGGGTTCTCGCAATCTCCTTTCGCATTCTTTCTGGTAGATTTCGCTCAAGAGGCACGTCTCTGTAACCGATACCACTCAGGTCCACCGGCTTTGCAATTCCAACCCCGTTGAAGTTAAGAACAACGAGAGCCAGGCAACGGAATCGACGACTTCAGCGTTCTGGCGCGCCTTATCGGCCCTTATCAATCGTTATCAATTTCTGGCACTTACCAACGATGTTCCCGTCCCACCCCAGATGACACTTGTAAGTATGGTTGCTCTGGTTCAACGCGAGCCAGGCAACCTAATCGACGACTTTTGGGTTCTAGCGCATCTTATCAGCCATTATCAGTTGCTATCGCTTCTATTCATGTGCCACCAATGTCTCGGGACCGCTCCACATAAGAATTGTAAGTATAGACGCTCATTTACCAATATGAACGGCAAAACGAAATTGGCGATGCTCGCTTTCTAGCCCCTGCTATCAGCTATTATCAGTCGTTATCAGTTCCTGTCAGGTACCACTTGTGTCCCTATCCCACTCCCAATAACATATGTAAGAACCACTGCGCTATCGTTACTGTGACTCGAGCTATGAATTTCCGGTCAAACACACACACACCAACAGACACACGCTAGCCGCTTATATATAGTAGGATAGGATAGTTCAAAATGGGATTTATACCAGAGGTACGGAGGTATAAGTGATGTTTTGAATTATTGTAGAATTGGTACAGTACGTTGTACCAGGGATCACATGTTGTACCATAACCACATGAGATCACGCGATGTTTTGCAAGAGCGTGATCTCTGGTGCGAAGACGTGTGATCCCTGGATAGCCCGGATGGCTAATCATGCAGGCTATCGCGCAAGAGAGCTTGCCCGCCTACCCACCCACGTAATTCCATATTTTGCAGCACCGAGATTCAAAGAAGCAGCAACGCTGGGGGTAAAGGCGGAACACTAGGAATGCTCCACATCAGTGATGCCATAATACATTGTCAACTCGGACAGGGCACCATCTACTATAAAAGTGTACACGTTGGAGATGCAAAAATTCCAAGCATGAAGGAGCAGCCCATATATGAGTAGGATTCCCACTCCACAGGCTAGGAATCTATACCTGGCTAAATGTTTGGCGGAAGGAATTCATAGATCGATGCTTACCGTCACAGCGGCGCTAAACTACTTCTGCGGTCCACTTCTGGTAGTAGATAAGGAGATTCAAAATTTTCTTCTCCAGGCAGTCAAGCGATCCTTACCACCCGGGCAACATCGCGCTACATTCAGCCTAGGCACATGTCACTGTCATGTCATTTGGGCATAGCCCAAATGACATGACAGTGACATACCCTCAGCTTTGGAGTAAGTACTCATCACGGTGGGTAAGGGTCTCATCTTTCCTATTTTAGTCCGCATTTACGGGGCTACCCCTATCTAATTCTACTCTCCGGGATAGGCTTATGC